GCGATGGTTTGCAAGAAACCCATATCTAATGCACAGCTTAAACTTCGCCAATTGTATGTAACTGTTGCAGTTGCGACACATCTCGCCTTCTGCAAATCGATCACCCTCAATTTCCTGACTCTTTTTAATAAGAGAAACCGAGACCAAGGAAACATCATATGTAAAGCAGTAAAGTCATCATTGAGTAGCTTGCTGAACATTGTTTTGAGGAGCTAGTCCTTTGTTGTCTCATATTAAATCAGTAAAGCTCAAATTTTGAAATCCAAAGACCATACCATCAACAATATAGAAAAGGAATAGATAGGTGTGACAAACGTCCAGTAGTTACAAGGGAAAATTGGTGCTTTTTATACTCACCACCAATCCCTTCACAAATAATTACTTGCTAATACTACGTCCCCTTTTAATCCTTCTTTCCAGGCTGAAACAAACTACTGGGACGCGTGTAGTAATTGGAGACCCAAATCGTCATCCGCTTGCGGAGGAGCAGTTGAAAAGGTGCAGAGAGGTTATCTTTACGTTAAAACTACATTCACATATTTCAGTTATGAAACGAGGATAGTTAAAAAACAAATGACGGCTTATTCCTTACCTGATTTTGTCATGCGGGAGCACTATGGACTCAGTGCAGTAAACGTGATCGAATTACAGTTCATTGATATACAACCATCTTGCAGATGAAAAATACAAACAAATTGTTGTACGCATACCCAAATTCAGCAAGCGGTACAGAAAATACTTCACAAAACGTATAAATTTGATGGATTACCCAGAAAAATAATCTAGCTAATGAACCCGATTATGAAGAAGACATGTTCGAAAGCGTAAGAGACAGATATAAAAGGATCGATATCAAAAGGTGATTTATAGAAAGCCCATCCAGAAAGGTGTGATTAGGATCTTCTCTATGATGAACAAAAAAATGCTATTTGAGTTGCTTCTGTCAAAGATATAAAATATTAAATTAGCAACGTTATCTCGGACTACGTAAAAATTGTTATTTGGTCTGGATTAGTACATCGGGTTCTCAGAGGGCCTCTTCGTCTTGCAATCGGAAGCTTCTGACGAGAACGCTCTACAACTTCACGTTCGCGCTCAATTTCGGCCTGAAATTATTTTGCTTAGATTCAGCTGAAACGATTCTGTCGACCAACCAGACAAAGATTACGGAATGCTTATAACATACTACAATTTCTTCAAAGTCCTGCTCTGGATGTGTTTGTATGTTGTGCAAATCGTCTGCACGAACACCCTCCGCAATCATCATAGGATCTCCGTGGGAACGTAAACGTTCGCAAACCTTCACTATTGGCTCTACCCACTCTACGACATTTAAGAGATCGGAGTAAGCATAACCTAAAGTAGTTTACAATGAACAATTTACTGGCCACTATTACTATTCAAAAATCTAGTGCATTGTACACCAAATATACTACTATTATTCGCTGTATATAGAACGACAGGAACCCTATTGTTATGAGTTCTCCAAATTCCACGTTTTCGCATATAAACTTTTATGCGATTTCCTAAAAGAATGTACCAATAGTTACAGTTCTTACGATTTCAATTTGTTCTTTGGAAGAATAAACTACGCGCATTCCTATCTTTAAAATGATGGAACAGCAATTTGTATATTGATCATCTTCACTATATACCAAGTGGCTATAAATGTTCGATGGCTTTTTTCGAGCACAGCTGCAAAAAAAGTTGATTGTAGCTCACTATAGAAACTGTCCTTGCAATTCATGGCAAACGAAGATACTCTTCATTTCAAATTTCTACAAGACGATTTTGAAAGCGGAGAGTGACTAAACTGCAGTGACCAGTACTATCGCAATTTGATGATGCGCGAAAAATCGAGATTGCTTAAAACTGAGTCGCCATGAATCCTAAATGAATGAAACTTGTCAGTTATTTGCAACCGACACAGTACGAGTGTCTCCCTGTTATAGTGCTGCACGTGCTTAGAATCAAAAATTCAAAAATAATTATTACACTATAGATTGGAGCTTTGCATTCTCTCGCTGATTGAATCGACTTGTAGAGTTCTCTAGCACTTAATCTCATCATGAATGTTAACATTTCAACAATGTCTGCAGAACTTTATGACGCGACATGCACTGAGTAAATTTCAAGAAAACAACATAGAAAAAGTTCATACAGGAGCTATCTCTAAACTGACAATAGTCTGATGAGTGACTTCTTGCAAACTTTCAGAATGGACTAGCGAATAAACAAGTTCTGTTGTGAAAGAGGACAAAAAGGAGACAATAAGTTTAAGAGTTTCTGAGTTAGACTCAATTACCCGCAGAACGATACGATAAGTGGCTTTATGGGCCGAAAAAACAGCGATGTTCATTTGCACTAACAAGGTATTACATAGCTACTGCAAAACAAGTGCAAGAGCATAAGACTACAGAGAAGATAATTTGTACCACGAACCTGTCACCTCCTGTACAAGTGAGTGGGGCTCATAGCAAGCAAAAAGAACGGCAGCAGCAAGCTGTCGATAAGAGTACTTAAGTGACGCAACGTCAAAAAGAACTAGATCTAGTACCTAAAATAGTGACTTATCTGCGAGCTATTTCCACATATTCAAATCTTTGGATCATTATATACCTTAGCCATGTTCATGAAATCTTCCCTAAGTGTGTCCGGAACTGTGAAGCGTTGATCAACCACGTGCTTTTCTCCATCGTTTTTTACGGCCTGAATTACTTTTATTGTGCTGCATACCCGAAGATTATCCAATTACATATTTATTCACCTCTTTTTTCCCTAAAAATTGCATGTACATGCTGAGCCAGTGAATCGATGTCAAAGGTGACAGCGACCAATGTAACTCTTTGAGCATTATTATTTCAAACGTCCGCACCTAAAACCGCAAATTACGAAATGAATAATTAGAAAATGTGACTCACATCATGTTCAGTACATGCGCCATCTGTGTAACCTACAAACTCCTCGAGTTTTGGGGGGTAGATCTCCTGAAAGAAGACGCTGCGAAATTCTCTACTTCTCATATCCCAATATACAAACTTTTTTTGTCCCGGCAAGGCCCAAACTTATATACTCTTGAATTCCAGCTCGTAAGATAGACTGGCAGGCTGATTTAGAGTTATTTATGGTACGCTCTCTGAAGTTTACCTCTACAGATATCGCGGAAGCTGGCAGTTCCAGAGATGTGATGCAGATTTGAAATAAGCTTTTCAAGACATAGCACTGGCTTCTTATTAATTTAACGATAACTCGACTATACATTCAGTTGCAAGTTTGTGCAAGTTACGGCAAAATATTTCAGCTGAAAGTGCATCGCCTATAAACATCTACATCAAAACACACTCCAAGGCAATCTGGATTCAGTGCGTATAGTGAAGGAAGTTTGATACAGACTATTACCCACATTCTTCCCTACTCAAAAATAAGCGACTGAAATGATTTTTAATCGGCATATATGACGGCTGATCTGCAGATATATTGATTTCTTTAACAGGAACATTAGCAATTTTTATAGATTATAAGATTGACGTGCAATGCAGATTCCTAAAGCGGCATCTTAGCTGAAACCGTAATGTAACTCACTGCGGGATTCTTTACTACATGGCTTCTATCTCAATCTTACTCAGCCTTACTTAGAGCGGCTCACTGCCAAACTTCTTTCCTTATACGACTAGTGATACTCTTTAAAGAGTTGAACTTGATTGTTTTGTCAGCTGGTTTTGGTTCCAAGTTATTCATTGGTGAAAGGCTCTAACTCGAATTACAGAACGAGATTAGCAGCAGATTCTGCAGGACTCCTTCAAATGTAAAAGTCCTAAATAGCTGCCTCTTAAAGGCAGTACCAAACAAGTAAATTTGAGTTCTCATCAAACAGAGACTTATCTCTTAAGTTATTCCCCAAATTCAGGGAAGTAATTCAGCTGCCCTGGTCATTCAACCTGCGCCTTTTAGGTCACTTCACCCAATTAGTGTTCCTCCTCAGCACCGCACGTATTTAGCTTCTCTCAAAAGCGTGCTCTCTAAAAAGGTTTCCGATCGTTTCGACCAACAGCCAAAAAGAAAACACCCCTCTAGCACGCGTCCCCATCACTCCAATGAGGGCGAGGAATCTTTGTTTTTTACATCACAATAATAGAAGTTGCTATCAGTGTTTAACGCATCGGAAGGTCCGAAAATTGGGAAAGCCGCAGACAAAAAACTACCCAGACACCTCTTCACGATCAGTCAAGAGAACCAAGAACTAGAAAGTACTTGTTTAAGAATATCCTGCTTAGCATTTTGTATCTAAAAGATTGTAGATCTTATTATTTGCTCATTAAAGGCAGCGCCCGAGCAAATTTTCGACTTCAGGTTTCCCATCTCTTATAAACCATTTTGTTGTGCAGCACGAATAGCAACTTCAATTACCGTGAAATTGTCAGAAAAACCTACAGATTTTGGGGCCCCGTTGATTGACAAAAACGACTGGAGGCGATTTCACGCATGCCTTTCTCGCTATAAAGCACTGCTTTTGAGATAAGTCAAACACGGGCGATGATGAGGAGGAAATCAGGCGCCATTTATTCCTACTTAATCGGCTGCGAGAGCGGCTGGTAGTTTGAAGAGCTGCGGCGGCCTTGTTGGGAGTAGATTCATTGAGAAAGGAAGATTTCATGTTAAGGAGACAATACTAAGAAAATGGAATTAGTAAGAGGTAGTTGTTATGTTATTTATCGTGAACTGCAATTATACCAGGAAGTGCTATGTATGAGAATAATTAATTGGACGTTTTGATCTATGGGTTCGAGGAGTAGTCTCTACTGCAAATCAGTCTTATTTTCGCTCGTAGTTGAACATGAGTTGAAAAAGAATTCCGAGAGTGAAATTTACACATGCATTGGTGATCTTGACAAATTTCCGACGTTTCGGCACAACATGGCTTTTTGGCGTTCAGAAGTTTCCGCCTTATAAGCTTTTCAATCATAAATTTTTTTGAAGAAGGGTGAATGTGTGCGAGTGCTGCTTTCAAAATTAGAATCTCACTTTCCTTATAAGAAAGCAGAGCTTCCAGAAAGGTGCCAAATGGTAACAATAAAGGTCATACGTTTAAATTTCGCATTTCATAGTAGGAGGTATCAAAAAAAAATCAGTGCAGAAAGCCATGTCGACCCAAAACCAATCAAAAAAGTTCTCTTTGCTAACATGGAGAAAGAGAAAAGCAGAGTTTTTAAAAAAATAAATATTCACATATCTCTTTCTAATTTACGTTAGTACTTACTATTTCATCAAATAAGGGTTTTGAATATTGGATTTTAACATTATCATGTATAATGTATAAGACACAGTTCAAGTGATTTGAAGATGATCGTCACAAGCCCAACAGTGAATTGGAGGCAAAATGTGACAGACCTCGACAAAAGTTAGCAAGTTTTTCTCGTTTTCACCTCCTCTCCAACGTTTGTTATTTAGTTTGTTTGCGCAGAAAACAGCGACAAAGTAGTGTTTCTTTGCGAATGTTTTTTGGACGTTATTGAAAGTCGTAGTTGCATACATCCGGAACTTAACATCCTTATCCTGCAGAGCCACTCGCCGCCGTTGTGGCCAATCTGCCGCGAGAATCGCGGCGCGCGAACATCG